CTCCTTCTTCTTCCTCTTCTTCCTCCTCCTCCTCTTCATCCTCCTCTTTGTCCTCCTCCTCTTCTTCTATTTGGTACAGGGTCTCACTACACAGCTCGGACTAGTAGTGATCCTCCTGTTTCAGCCTCCTGAGAGCTGGGATTATATGTGTGCCACCATGCCCGGCAGACAGTTTCACTCTCAATGACTGGTTTACTCTTAAATTCTTCAGTGAGGAAAAAAACAAGCTGCTCTTCATATATTTTATTTTATGTCTTTGGTACAGGGTCTCACTATGCAGCTCAGACTGGTAGTGATCCTCTTGTTTCCAGCCTCCCCAGCGCTGGGGTTACAGGTGTGCGCCACCACGCCTGGACTCGGTGGCCAGCTCAACATGGGGGGGGGGCAGTGAGGCATGCGGTGTGTTGGGGGGATATCGAACCCAGTCCCTGCACTTGCCTAACAGGCACATTCTTAATTAGCCATCATCAGGCTAAAGTTATTTCACTATGAATCAGAGCAGCTCTTAACAAAAGCCTTGTGAAGAAACATCACTTTCTTCACAAAGTCCTATAAGAAGTTTAAACTGTACAAAAATGCACTCTCTTGCATTCTCCCTCCTGCTCTTTTTCCACCCCCAAAGAAAAGAAAAGGCCCAGTCCTTCCCAGAGCAGTAACAGAAGGGGAAAGGTGACACCTGGGGCAGGTTGAACGCTAAGCTTGCCCTCTGCCGCTGAGCTACTGCCTCAGCCCCGAGCAACAGCGTTCTGATTCTGGAGAGATCTTAGTGGTCTTTAAAGTGAACACGGGACGTGATTTGGGAAGGCAAGTGGGTTTCTGTTTTCGGGGTTCTCAGAGTGCAGCTGGAAATCAGAGTGAGGGGCTGAGAAAGACCAAGGGCAATGCCCGCAAGATCCCGCCTCCCACGACCCTTCCTGCAACTGCTAGGGGTTGTCTCAAGGGCATGGTGAACGACGTTTTTAAATCACTCCTTGCTTACAGCTCTCTATTGTTCAGCTCATAAAAGTCTTAGGGACGCCTCTGGGCTCCACTTACTCCAAAAGGAAGTGTCTTATTTCTCCATAAGGGGGCAGCACTCTCCTGTTTGGGGCCGTTCAGAGCCGGTCCTGGGCCGCGCCACCTGCTGTCTTCAGCGCCCCGCCGCTTTTGAGCGCCCCGCACCTGGGCTGGCTCTCCTCTCCTGCCCTGCGCCTGCTGTAACGCCATTCACTTTCTGTCAAGCCACTCACATTTTAGACTTCTTTCCATACCGACGCAAATACTCCAACTGCTCTACTAACCTATGTCCATCTCTGCAGTAGCTTACAAGGCCTCTTCTTTCAAAACTGTTCTCTCTCCTGGTAGCACATGCTTTTAATCCCAACACTCAGGAGGCTGAGGCAGGAGGATCCCTGTTTGAGGCCAGCCTGGGTTACACTATGAGCTCAAGACCGGGTGGACTACACAGTGAGACGGAGTCTCAAAATCAAAACAAAATAAGACAAAAACAATAATATTTTCTCTGACCTACCTGGAGTTCAGGGGCAGTTCTGTGCCTCAAAGCCTCCTGGGCCTGCCCTAGTGCCTGAGAGCTTGCTGTTGTCCTTCCTGCCAGATGTTCACTGCCCCTTCAGTCGGGGAGGACAGCTTCAAGGCAGTCCTGCCCACGCTGTGGCTTAGTGCACAGCAGGGCCCTGGATCATGGCAGTGTTCCATGACTCTGACTTCAAATCGATAGCCCACTGAAGCCAGACACCAAACTTCTCACTTTTTCCCCATTAGGAGACCTGTTGTAATTCAGACCCCTGAACTGGAAGGCTCTGGCTGGAAGCCCCTGACACCTGGAACCACATATTACAGCCAGACCTCAGTATTATTACAAGTTGGTTTGAGGCTCGCAGCTAGGCCACTTGGTTCTCCTCTTGGACAGAAAACCTTCTCAAGGATACCAACCTCAGACAAGATTATTCTGACACCATGATAAAAGGAAACACAACAAAGATGCTTCATAGCAGTACCTAAATACAAATAAAAATAAACTCACGGTGCAAGCGTAAATCACCCTGGGCTAGGCTTGCCCTCATTTCTGATGAGGACCCACTTCCCTAGATCCTTACCTCAACCACGTGAGCAAAGCCTAAATGCTCTGGCAGGATCCGCATCCCCCTGCCGATGCCACCACACCTGTGCTCCCCTTAGCCTGTGGGTGAAGCACACTGACAATTATAAGCAGCCACTCCACATGACAATATCCATGAACACCTTAGGGTATCCTTGTCTCCAGTTTATATGGAGGAATACCGAGGCTAAAAGAGGTTAAATAATTTAACTGAAATTATACAAAGCAAGTTCTCGGCCCACGCCCAGCGATCTGATGCAAGAGTTAGTCAATCGCGGGTACACTTTTTGTGTGTGTATAAAACATTTTAGGTAGCCAAAAGTGAACCAAAAAGAATGCTGGGGGGGCGGGGGCAAGTGGCCTTTTCCACCTATGTAGTAAGGATGGATGGATTGAATGGGTGATGGGAGAGTGACAGGTGATGGACGGACAGATGGATGATGGTGGACGCACGGAACCAGCAGTTAGCAGGACTCACAGATCTTTCCTGATCCAAAATAAAAGCGACAGAGATGCCAAATTTTTCATTAATTAAGAATACTGAAGGTAACAGTTTCAAAAATCAAATGGACAAACTATGGTACCAAGCTTCTTCTGGTAAACAGAATTCTACTAGAAGTTCCAGCAGGAGTCTGTCTCCCTAAAGCCCACAACGTTCCTAGGAGCCGGTGGCCTTCTGGATAAACTGCAAGCCTCCGTTAGCCACTTGCTCCGCCCCACGGGGGAGGGGGGGACCGCAATTAAGCAGATCACTTGCCCCAGGCCTAGAGGTATCTGAAAGACACCACCGCTGCCCCAAGCGCATAGATGGAAAAAAGCTTGCAGGTGGCTTGCAGTGGGCCACCCACACCTGGGGGCTAACAGCCTTGGGAGGCGCTGAGGGGGTGGGGCAGGCGTTGCCCAGGGAGACTGACGCTCCTCGGGCAGGGGACAGACTGGCCTCGACGGTCCTAGCGACTGCACGAGCAGGAGCTCCGCTCCGCAGGCACGGCCAACCTACCCCCGCGGCGCGGCCTCGGAGAGCCGGAGAAGGACAAGGCGGGTCGGAAGGGGTAGGAGGAGGGGATGGAGGAGGAGCTGGAGGAGGAGGACTTGGCAGAAGAGGAGGAGGAAGAGGAGGAGAAAGCTGAGAAGGAAAGATGGAGGAGAAGAAAGTGGAGGAGATGGAGGTGGCAGAGGTGGGGGAGGCGGAGGAGGAGGGCTCACGGATGTTCCGCGAGGACGACCGCTGGACGGTCTTTGGCCTCGGCGACAAGGAGGACGACGAACGGGACGAGCGGGACGTACCGGAGCCTCGGCCCCGCCTCATCAGCGTGGTCAGCCCCGGCCTGAGCCCCACGGCCTCGGTGCTCTCCAGCCTCTCGTGGAGCCCGTGGGGCTCCGAGACCCCGCCGTCCCGAGTGTCCTCCCAGCCAAGCACGCCGCCCGCCGGCCCGCGCGCACGTGCACACACACACGCACACACACACACACACACACACACACACACGCTGGGGGCGTGGTTCGTATTTTATGGTCTAGATGAATAGCTTCATCCAAGGGGAAACAAGCCGAGCTGTTCGCAATGCTCCGTTACTCCTGGAGGAGCAGAGCTTGGGGGTGCTGGGCTCCTTCAGAAAAACCCCAGCTTTCTTTCGCGTGTTTAGTTTCCCGCAGGGGAACCACTCCAGGCACTTCCTTAGCCGAGAGAGGCACAGCAGGGATTGAGAGCCCGTTTGTGAAACCCCCAAAGTTGACCCTTGGACCTGGATGGTTCTTGGATGGAGGTGGGGGCGCTGTCCCGCGCCTCGCAGGGTGCTCGGGAGGATCCCCGGCCTCTGCCCGACTGTGCGCGGCCTCGCACACACCGATCAAAAATGACACCTGACGTCGCTGGCCTCGCGTTCCCAGGGGACAAAATCGCCCTTCTGAGAAACGCTGAGGTTGCGAGGGAGAGGCTAAAGGTTTCAATGGTTCATTTAACAGGTTTTCCCCAAAATATTTCAAACATTTGGGAAAGACATGTCAGAAGTGAAAGTAGATAGGTAAGAAAATACTCTCAGCTTTCCTATATTATTTTTAGAAGCAAGTAATATTTATCTTTTGGATAAACGTTTTAGGAAGTAGAGGCAAATAATCCAGGAAGTTCATAATTTATTTACTAAAAAAATTGAGTTGTTTAATCTACGCTGGTAAACACTTTGTCAGAGATAAAGATAAGGTCCTCCCTATCTCTGGCTTCCGGATTACCTAGCGTGGAGATGGCACAGCCGGTAACCCGTGTAACATGAGGTGAATATCGCTGGTGGGCGGCAGTGGAAGCTGTTCTCCTCCTCATTCCCTCATGCTGTTTTACTTACAGTTGCTACCGAAGGGCTTTAACTAAACCAGAAACATCTTTGGAACATCTTCATAAGACGCCCCTATAGGGTCACATCGTGCCTCAATCCACAATCTTATAAATACCTCGTAAAGCAGGAGGGAAGTTGTGCTCTCCTACTCTCGTTTCTCTCTCTCTCTCTCTCTCTTTCTTTCAATTCAACTTGTTAGCAAAAGATTAATGGTGTGGTTTAAAATTTAAGCTATACTGTTGTAGAACGATCGGAGCAGTGAAAAGAAACAGGAAGGCTGGATGAAATAGGCCACAGGAGTCTCCCTGAGATGAATCCAAGTGAGCCCCAAACTAGGGGAAAATCTCACATGTATTGAGGGCTATGAACAGGCTAAGGAATGTGCAAAACTAATTTGGTGTAAGCAAATTGCTATCTATATTGCCTCTGGCATTCACCAACTAGTTTACATATGGAGTTGGTAACTTCCCAGGTAAAGGGACAAAGAACAGACAGGGTGCCACCTCCAGGAATCTGTGACTACCTTGCCTCCAGCTTGGCAGAGTTACAAGGAGCCAGTTTCCTTAGGCTCTGTTTTTTGTTCTTTGCTCCCTCAGTACAGTAAACTTCTGGCTCACATCACTACAATATACAATGATATAAAATTGGGGAATTCACTCTTTTCTAGAGTTACCATACTGTTAGAAGTTTCAGTTTTGCTTCTATTTAATTTCTTTTATGGGGGAGAAATAAAATCTCATAACAACATAGCAATAGCAATAGCTAATACATGGCTCCATTTAATTTTTTTTTAAATGTTTTTGGTATAGGATCTCACTATGCACATCAGACTCAGCACTGGGATTACAGGCCTGCATCACCACACCCATCTCGGAGTCCAACTTAGCACACCCAGGGGCAGGGCCAGCATGGCATGTGCTGGCAGGGATCCTGTCTCTGTGCTTGCCTAAGCAGGTGCTTAGTTAACTGCTGAGCTCTCTCGGTGGCCCTGTTGTTTGATTTTGTTGAGAGCAATATTATGTCAAAGATCTCCTTTGCTCTATGTAGTCCTTTTCTCTGGGGGCCAGTGTTGGTTCTCTTCATCTTGTTCTGTTCTTTTTCGTGCTATTGGTTATCCTTAATTACCAGGAAGTCCTTGGTTACACATCTGTATGTCTAAGTGAATGACTGACAGCTAAAATGGAAGCTTCCTGCGGCTGAGGGCTTCAGGGTTTGGGGGTGAGGGTTCTTGTGCTGTGGGTGGGGCATATGGGAGCAGGCCTCCTGAGGAGTGTCTGGGCAGGAAGCCGTTCAGCGGGGTAACCCAACTATTTCTGGAGTTAGGAACAGAACACTGTTGTGAGTGATTATCTCTTCTTCTTTTTTCTCCCAAACCCACTGGACAAGTCCAGAGTATTCTCATACTCTACTCTGCCTCTCTTTCAGGGCTAAAACCCCCCTGAGCAGGTTGCCCATGGTTTTTAGAAAGCTGTTCTTTGAACTCCTGTAGACATTAAAACTGGGCCAAAGCTGTAGAGATACAGCTCAGTGGCTCCAGTGCCTACCTGGCAAGCACAAGGTCTTGAGTTCAGTTTCTGCCACAAAAATATTAGATATTAAAACTGCTGCCACCTGTGCTGTAGAAAGGGAGAGGAAGAGGCCTGCCTGGGCAGCTGTGCCAGGCTTGCTCCTTGAACTCCTCTGGTAGCAGTTGCCAGATTCTTCCTTTCTGTGTTTGCTTGGGTTGACCTAGCCCAGGGACGGTGACGCTTTTTTAGAGCTTTCAATAATAAACAGCTGACTGTGGCACGCATGCCCTAGGCTCGCTTCTGCTGAAGCGATTTCTCAGGAATGAAACTCCCTTTTGAAAAATACCTTAATTCTTTTGTCTTGAGCTATAGTATGCTCTGCTCTGGCTTTACCTTAACTTATAGCCATGTAGGTTCTTTCTTTTAGTGACTTCGGTAATGCTTGTCCATCAATTATAACTCATTTGCCAGTGCTGATTGTCTAAACTACCTGTTACTTCAGTAAGATCTTGAAAAGGAAGGGGAAGGAGGAGGAAATTGCATACGCAGCTGAAGTCTTGACCTGGAATTGCTATTACACCATTTCAGTCCATGGAAATCTCTCTTTCCTTTATCAGTCTTAATTTGTATAGATATATTGATGATAGATAGAGATATATAGATGATATGGATATTGATATAGATACAGATGCGGATACAGATAGATATCTCAAAGTACTCCTTGGCAAACCTGATGAGATTATGGATGTTCTTTAAAGAAACATGGCCTAGGGCCAGCAAGATAGCTCAGCGAAGTATACACCTGCTTTGGCAAGCACAGGGACCAGGGTTCGATCCTCGGTTCCACATGCTGTGCCAGCCCCAAGGGTACTAAGCCTTTGAACGAGTCCGGCATGGTGGTGCATGCCTGTAATCCCAGTGCTGGGGAGGCTGAAAACAGGAGGATCACTATGAGTCTGAGCTGCTTAGTGAAACCCAGTACCAAATATGTAAATGGAATAAAATAATGAATAAAAAATAAAGAAACGTGTCCTAAACATACAACCAATGTTGTCTCAGTTTCTGTTACCTTGTTATTATTCTGGTTGAAAATGGGATGTTTTAGAAGCCAGATGAATTCAGGAGCCTGAGAGAAGATTAGTGAAGATTTAGAAGCTCCTGAATCTCCATTAGCCTTGGTTTCTTTGCAAAACAAAATGTGAATCTCCACTTTGTGTGGCTTTTGTAAAGATAAGTGGGTCAATGTGAGTAAAAACAACTCCCCACTTCTATGCTATGTTCCCAGCAATGTTGATTTTGTTACCATCCTCCGTCTACCATTTTTATACAAAATTCCAGAAATAATCTTTGATGTTAGGTTAAGAAAGGCAAAATGAACAAGGGATGAGGTGTTTGTTTTTTAACCACTGAATTAGAAAAAAATAAATGTCTGGAGATTGTCTTTCATGTTGCTTTCCTCTCCTCACCATAGCTTGGCTTGTTTCTCCCTGAGATTAGATAAACAGGACTTCCTCGGGGAGCGCGCAGGTGGCCTACCCAGAGTTGTTTACCTATTACAGGACACAGTCATTTCAAGATTTGAAAAACAAAGCACTTCACTGATGCAATGTGCCACGGAACACAGCACCACAAAAAGAAGATGAACGCCTCCTGCCACCGGGGCTGTCCTGAGCCAGAGGCCACCGCCTTGCGGCAGCCTCCACTCTTCAGATAGCTTCTCTTCTTCCTCCTCAGCATTTGCCACACTTTCAATGAACTTTTGCTTTGTACCCCCCCCAAAAAAAGATAGTGGCTAGAGACATAAAAGAACAAAAGTGAACAGTGGCGATACTAAAATAGATTAAGCTGTTTTAAAAACTATTACTTGATTATTTTAGAAAATACAACTTTTTTAAAAAATTGAAATTGAAGGAGATAAAGGAGCTTGAAAAAAACACTGCTCACTCATTACCAGTAAGTTATTTTAATCAGAAATTTATTATAACTGATTAAACTACTCAAGGAAATAATACAGATCCTTTAAATACAATGCACTTAATTTAATATCAGCTTTTTAAAAAAGGTTTGGATTATTTTGAAGCTATTGAAAATGAACAATTTGTGCCAACTTAAACATTTAGGTGCGTATGCCACTACCCCACCAATTATAGACAAAGTAGTAGGAAATCCCTGAGAAAACAGTATGATACTAGGAACCTCCAAGATTTAGAAAGGAAGAGTTTCCAAAGTGCAGGCTTGTATATCCTGTGCTTAGCTTTCCACAAAAGTTGGGACTGGAAGAAAACATTTCAAGGAAAATAGAATAAGGATCATCTGTATGTGTTTGTCACTTACTATGAAATGCATTATGTTTAGTAGCTTTGCTAGCAACCATGTAAGTAAGTACACTTAAAACACTTTGATCTAAATTTCAGAAATATTTATAGAAATTTGTACCCAGGAATTCCAATATCAGTACAAACTGAAGAAAGTTGGATGCAAGAATTGGCTGAAAAGAAGAGCCAAAGTGAGTAGTTTGA